CCAAAATAATATCAAAATCGACCATATCGAGGAGCAATAAATCAATATGGGTCTCAAGACCCCCAATCATCACAATACAGGATCGATGAACTCGGTCGACCCTAATAGAATTTCCCACTGGCATGGACACATAAACAGGAACGCCCAATGGAGTACTAGGCTGAACCAGGTACGGTGCAAAATAAGAAGACACGTATGCATACATGGATCCAGGATAAAGTAGTACTGAAGAATTTCTAATACACATCAAGATGGTACTTGTAACGTTTGCATCAAAACTCTCAGCCTCCAAACTGGCTGCTGGCTGATCCCTACTGTCGGTAGTCTGGGCTCCACCTCTAAAACCTCTACTCCCACCTCTAGCCGGCTGGATAGGCTGTGGAACCCTCGATGCCCGAAGCCAAGCACGATAATTCTGATATTGAGGGCTGCTCAGAGCTCTAGGGCATAATCTGACAGTATGCCTCGTATCACCACAACAATGGCAACGCCTCATCTATGGCTGTTGCGCACCTCCCAACCTTGGACACACCCTCCTGATGTGACCATACTCACCACATTCGTAACACCTACACACCCGTTGCAACTGAGGGAACTGAGGTTGGCCTTGTCGACCTGAACGATCACCTGAAGAACCATGAGTGACAAGCGAAGCTGACTGAAAGGGCCTGAAAGAATGGCCTCTACCATGAAAATCTCGACCTCCAAAAGAGGTACCACTTAACATGCGTACGTGTCGGGGTCTTTTATCTGGCCTACGACCGACTCCTTACGGCAGAACCATCTCAACTCCACGGCCGACATTGGCCGTCTCCTGAAAAGTGGCCTCACTCCCGGCCTGGGCTACTGTACTTGGCTGACCTGTCATAGCTGCCTGAACCCCTGGAAGCAAACCCGCTCGAATGACGCTCTCCACTAAGCCCACCAATCTGACCATAGCGTCCTGAAGAACTGGAGTGGCTACGAACCCCTCTGGAACCTGAGCTGGGCCCACTGGAGATGTTGGGGCTGGAACCTCCTCCTCGACCTGAAATTGAGGCTATGCCACTAGAATTGCTGCTGGGGGTTGAACTCTGCCCCTACCTCGGCCTCTAGCGCGACCTCGACTTCTGCCCCTGCCCCTAACTGGAGCTGCTGCTGGGACCTCGGGCTGCTGGTCATTAGATGAGGAAGCGCGTGTTCTTACCATCTGTGGAAGAACAGAGTAGAAATTACAATCAGCATTTGAAGAACAATTCGCACGACAGGAAAGAACAAAGATGGGATTTTCCTAACTCCGTAGCTTCTGGGGAATAGGTACAGACGTCTCCGTACCAATCCCTCAGACTCTACCAAGGTTGTTCGTGAGTTGTGAGACCTGTGCAACCTAGTGCTCTGATACCAACTTGTCACGACCCGAATTCCCACCATCGGGGTCGTGGTGGCGCCTACTAGTAGGAGCTAGGCAAGCCAACTCTCACTATTATTTCCAATTTTATCCGTTACTCATTTTAACACAATTTAACAATAAATGAAATAAATAATTAGAATAAAGAAAAACTAGCGGAAGACTTTAATAGACACTAGTTGCAATACTTAAATCTCAACATAATACACTACCCAAGACCGGTATCACAATGCTCACGAACTTCTAAGAATAATACACATAATGGTCTGAAAGAAATACAACACTGTTTGTCTCGAATATATGAGATAACAGAATGATAATGATACAGAAGAGACAACGGGTCCTGCGGACGCCTGCAAGACTACCTCGGTGTCTCAAAATATCCAAAAGCTACCGTCCGCGCTACTATCGCTGTTGCTACTGCTGCTGTGATGTACCTGGATCTGCGCAAAAAGAGCGCAGAGTGTAGAATCAACACAACCAACCCCATGTGCTGGTAAGTGTCCGGCCAATCCCGGCGAAGTAAGTAACAAGGCTAGGACCAGACACTCACATAAACCTGTACAATTCATAATATGCAGGTGCAACAAAATCACAGAATAATAATTATAATTAATAGCTGGGAGGGGAAGTCATGTAATATTAACAAGATATAATGACAGATATGATTATGAAATCAAAGAAATATCAAGTAGTGAGAACATGTAAATCAATATCTGCACGGCACCAACCATCGTGCTTTTACTCTCGTTCTCACCAATACAATCAAATAAAATGCACGGCACCAACCATCGTGCTTTAACTCTCTTTATCCTCCCATCAATAATATGAAATAATTCATTAATTACATGGCATCAACCATCATGCTTTAACTCTCTTTATCCTTCCATCAATAATATGAAATAATTCATTAGTTACCCGGCATCAACCATCGTGCTTTTACCTCCCATACTCTCGTATCAGTGGCACGGTATGATTCTTCGTGCATAAATATTTGTATTATTGCGCGGCAACAACCATCGTGCTAAAATCACTCTTCCTCGCCAATTTAGTAATCATAGTTAATAAATCAGGGCGAAGAAATAAATATATAGTATTTAAATCTCAACAAGGGAGAATACTATAACAACAATCAATATGTTCCAATAAGGAACCATTATATCTCTTTTCACTTCTTATTCACTTCTTAATAAATTTCCAAATTTATCAATTGAGTCAACGCTCCATGAAAATTATCTTTTCAGTTCATCTTTCACGATTTCCACATTATTTATAATTCAACAATTTAAATGTGAAAAAGTTGCATCAATATCAAATATTCAATAATAGAGACTCACGGTCATGCAAGACCCCCAACGTATGGATACTCGTCACCATGCCCATACGTCGGACTCTACACATAGCAAATAGACGCAACTCCTATTCCCTCAAGCTAGGATAGATCAAACACTTACCTCGTACAAATACGGCAAGTTCAATCCTTAGCACCGCCTTTTCCTTTTGAATTCGCCTCCAATTCAATTATATCTATATATAATTGATTTAATATCATCAATATCTACTCAGCAAAATATTCCAAATGGCCAAAAAATATGATTCACACTATTCTGCCATGAATAGTGAAAAATGACCCCGGGCCCACGTGGCCAAAACATGAGGGTCGAACCAATTTCCGGCAACCCATTCACCCACGAGTACAAATATACAATTAGTTCTGAAATTCAACCTCAAAACGAGGTCCAAAAGTTCAAAATGTGAAAACCCTAACTTCTACTAAAATCTTTATTTTTATCCCATGAAAAGTTTTGATTTAAGAAGAAATCATGTTAGATGATGATAATGATTGAAAGAAACAAGTAAAAATGGACTTACAGATGTTTTGATGAAGAAGGGTTGAGAGAAAAATTGCCAGAGGTGTTTGAGTTTTAGAAAATATGTAAAATGAGCTTCAAAAATCGTTTAAGTCTGAGATATACTGACTGTGTTCGCAATTGCGAAGTCTAGGCAAAACAGGCAGGCATCGCAAATGCGGACATTTGTTCGCATTTGCGAACTCTGGCAACAAAAGGGGATCTTCGCATTTGCGAAGTTTTCATCGCAAATGCGAACAAGCTGAAGAAACAAAGGAAGTCGCAAATGCGAGAATCTCTTCGCATTTGCGAAGACTGAAAGAGATAAGAGGGCTTCGCATTTGCGTACTTTTGTTCGCATTTGCGAGCTATGGGCCAGAAGGGAGGACATCGCAAATGCGAACATTTGTTCGCATTTGCGAACATTGCAGGTCAGGCATACCAGCAGTTTCTCAACATGACAGAAAGAACTCGTGGCCTATCCAAAACTCACCCGAGCCCTCGGGGCTCCAAACCAAATATGCACACTGACTCAAAATCGTCCTACGAACTCGCTCTGCGATCAAATCGCCAATACGACATCAAAACAACGAATTAAACCATGAAAATCCATATTTTCCAAACTTTAACATCAAACTTTTAATTTAGCTTTTCGGGTCCAAAACATGTCAAACGACGTCCGGTTACGACCAAACTTTACAGATAGCGCTTAAACCACATATGTGACCTGTACCGGGCGTCGGAACCAAAATACGAGCCCGATACTATTACTTTTCTATAAAAATTCATTTTCAATTTCCTTAATCATTTTCAGAAAATAATTTTCACATAAAATTCCGTATCTTGGGCCTGGGACCTCGGAATTAAATTCCGGGCATATGCACGTATCCCATATTTTTCTACGGATTTTCAGAAATTGATAAATCATGGGTCCGAGCCCGTTTACCCAAAATATTGACCGAAGTCAACTATATCAATATTATACTTAAAATTCTTCAAATTTTTTACACATTTCAAATATTTCAACATATAAATTTTCCGGCTTCGCGCCCGAACTGCGCACGCAAATCGAGGCAACTGATAATGAGGTTTTCAAGGCCTCTGAAGCTCGAAATGACTAAATACACAGGTGATGACCCTCTGGGTCGTCACATGATACTTGAACTCTGCCTACTCGAAGTTTGATTACATGGTTATGAGAAATATGTGGCTATGCCTGCTTTTGTACCTTCTCTGTGTGTTAGTAGAATTAGAAAATGTGATATTGATTTTGCATTTTATGTGTATTGTAGTAAAGCAGAATATGATAACAGTTAAACAATAGCATTTTGATTGTTTATTTCAAGTAAGATAATCAAATTGTGGTGGTTTTGATATTTTTTATAAGTTGAGGGGTATAAATCATGTTTCATGATTTTGAAGGAAAAAAAGACATCCAAATATGTTGCAAAAATTATAACCAAACACAACTTCATCTTCAATTCAAATTTTATTGAAATTCCAAATTTGAAAAAAAAATTAAAATCCATGTCCGATGGCCTACTAATTATTGATGGTAAAATGGTGGTACAATTGGAAGCAGAAGAAATGGAACCAGAAGAAAAAAATGGAGATGTGCCGTAATTGCATACATTATCGGGGAAACACCTGGGTACAATGTCATGAAGAGGTATATTAGTTAGAATTGGACTAGTATAGATAGCCCAGAGGTATATTACCATGAGGAAGGTTATTATATGATTAGATTTAATTCTATAACAGATATGCATACTGTGTATTACAATGGGCCATATACTATCAGCAATAGACCGATAATTTTGAAACCTTGGATAGCAGATTTTGATTTCAACAAGGAATTTCCTACTGAAATACCACTGTGGGTAAAGTTCCCAAACTTACCTATGAGCTGCTGGGGAAGTAGGACCTTGAGTAGAATTGCTAGCATGCTAGGAAATCCAGTCTTTGCTGATGAATGTACCACAAAGCAAACTAGGATTTCTTATGCTAGAATGCTTGTGGAGATAAATGTCAGCCAGCCTCTTTCAGATGAAATCACTGTAATTGATCCAAAAGGGAAACACTTCCAGCAACAAGTGACTTATGACTGGAAACCAGAATTTTGTGAAACATCTCAAGTAGTGGGGCATAAATGCAGAGAAAAAGGTGAAGAAGAAGAGCAGAGAAATATGCAGCATAGAAGAAGGAGGACAAGGACTGTCACACAAGAGTGGAGAACCAAAGGCCCTATACAACAAAATGCTCCAGTTGAAAAGCAAAAGGAACAGCCAAAGGAAGTAACACAGCAGACTCAGCAGATAAGCATAGCAGGTTCTGAGGAAGGACTAGAAGAACAGGTAAGGAAGAATAAGGGGAAAGCTCTACAAAGCCCTGAATTCAACCTTCAAAATTTTCCAATGCTATGCTCTGTCCCTGTAAAGAATGGATTTGGAGTGCTGCAAGGAGGAGATAGTGTAGTTCAAACCACACCTCTGGATAAAGGAGGTGGAACAAAAACAATATGATGAATTGGTTAATATAGAATGTTAGGGGAATAAATAAGAGATAGAAGCAGAAGGAATTGAGAAATTACTTAAAAACCAAAAAAATTAGACTAGCAGGACTTATAAAGACTAGAGTAAAGGAGCAAAAGTCAAAAATGATCAGGAGGAGTGTTGCTGCTGATTGGGAAGCATATGACAATTATCAGGCTGCAACAAATGGAAGATTATGGATAATTTGGGACTCTCATTGGTGTGAAGTCAACATGGTGAGAACTGAAGCTCAGATGTTACACTGTGAGGTCAAAAGCAAGGTGGGAAATATCAATTGTTTCCTTACCATTGTTTATGGCTTCAATACAATTGAACATAGAAGATCTTTATGGGAGCAATTGAAAGAAGTGGCTACAGGGATAAATAAACCATGGCTGGTTGTTGGTGATTTCAATGCAGTTCTAATAAAAGAGGTTAGACTATTTGGTAATCCAATCACATATGCAGAAGTCCAAGATTATTCAGAATGCATCCATGATCTGCTATTATCAGAAGTTCAGTGGACTGGGGACTACTATACATGGTCGAACAAGCAACCAAATACAGACAGAATATATAGTAGAATAGATAGAGCTTTTGGCAATCATGAATGGATGATGGAATGGGGACATGTATTGATGCAATATGATGATCCATACATCTCAGACCATGCTCCTATGCTGATAACATTGGCAACTGCTAGATATAATAATAAAGTATCCTTTAAGTTCTTTAACATATGGGCTGAACATGAAGAGTTCTTGAAGATAGTGGCAGATGTATGGAAGAATAAGCTAGCTACAAATACTATGGAGAATATCTGGAAGAAACTGAAAAGGCTGAGAACAGATTTGAGGAAGCTTAACAATGAGGAGTACAAATTTGTCAGAAATAAAATTGACAAAGCAAGGCAGGATCTTAAAAACACTCAGGAGCTGATACATTTTAGAGATAATACTGACTTACTTGCTGAAGAGAGAAAACTGTTACAGGAGCTGGAGAAGTGGTCAATGGTAGAAGAAAGTGCCCTACAACAAAAAGCCAAAGCTACATGGATCAAGCTTGGAGACTCAAATGGCAAATATTTCTCAGCACTGATCAAAGAAAGAACTCAGAAGAAACAAATCAATGAGCTGACATCACTTGACAACAAGAAGCTGGAGGAACCAGAGGAGATTATCAAGTTTTACAAAAGCTTAATGGGCTCAGCAGCTCACATTCTACCAGCAGTAAGCAAGCAAATAATAAAGAAAGGACCTGTTCTTGAACAACACCAAAGAGCAGCCTTATGTGCAGAGGTTACAGACAAAGAAATTTATGAAGGGCTTTGTTCAATAGGAAATGACAAATCTCCTGGTGTAGATGGATATAATGCCTATTTCTATAAAAAGGCATGGCCTATAGTCAAAGATGAAGTTGTTGCTGCTATTAAGGAGTTCTTCAAAACTGGGAAGCTATATAGCGCAATAAACTGTACTGCTCTTACATTAGTTCCAAAAACTCCTAAACCTGCCACTGTGAAGGAATATAGACCTATTGCATGCTGTACAGTCCTATATAAGATGATTGCAAAAATCCTTGCAGCCAGAATGCAGACTGTGATGAATGGAATTATTAGCCCTGCTCAAGCTGGATTTATCCCTGGGAGGAAGATAGCAGATAACATATTTCTTGCTCAGGAATTAGTCAAAGATTATACAAGGAAGAACCTGTCAGCTAGGTGCATGGTTAAAATTGACTTACAAAAAGCCTATAACTCTGTTGAATGGCCTTTTGTGAGACAGATGCTAGGTGAGCTGGGATTCCCTAATCAATTTGTGGCATGGATAATGGAATGTGTGCAAACAGTGAATTACACTGTGGTGATTAATGGAGAACAAAGCAAACCTTTTAATGCAGCAAAAGGATTGAGGCAAGGAGATCCAATATCTCCATTTCTATTTGCAATAGCCATGGAGTACTTGAGTAGGCTTCTTAATGATCTAGAAAATGAGAAGACATTCCAATTCCATCCTAAGTGTGCTAAACTAGGTGTGACACACCTAAGTTTTGCAGATGACTTGTTGTTATTTGCCAAGGGCAATCTGAAATCTATTTCTGCTCTTTATGGATGTTTTAAGACATTCTCTGTAGCTTCAGGCCTTCAAGCTAACATTGGAAAGAGCAATGTATATTTTGGAGGAGTTAAGAAGGAAGAACAGGAACAAATTCTAAGTCATTTGGGATTTGTTCATGGCAGCTTATCTTTCAAGTACCTGGGAGTCCCTTTGTCTACAAAGAAGATTACATTGATGCAATGGCAACCTCTGATAGAGAAAATAGTAGCAAAAATCACTTCCTGGACAGCCAAAAAGTTATCCTATGCAGGAAGAATACAATTGGTGAAATCAGTGGTGTTTGGAATACAAGCTTATTGGTCTCAATTATTCCCTATTCCAGCTAGAGTGTTGAAGATTATTGAAGGCTATTGTAGAAGCTATGTGTGGTCAGGAAGTAACTCTATTACCAAAAAAGCCTTGATAGCCTGAGATAGAGTATGTCTACCAAAATCGCTGGGAGGTATTGGACTCATTAACATGAAATTGTGGAACAAAGCTGCACAAGTCAAGACATGCTAGGATATTGCTCACAAACAGGATAAGCTGTGGATTAGGTGGATTCACACTTACTAGATCAAAGGGAAACCACTCCTGGAGATATCAATACCAAAGCAAGCTAGCTGGATTACTAGAAAGATATTGGAGTTGAGAAGTGAGTTACACCTGGTGCCTACGATCATAGGATCAAGAAGCTTGACGAATGCTATCTACTACAAAATGCTCCCTGTCATGAGAACAGTAGAATGGAAATGTCTGATGTTCAAGAATGAAGCAAGACCAAAGGCAAGGTTTACAATGTGGTTAATGCTACAGGGTCGTCTAGCTACAGCAGATAGACTGTTGAGATGGGGCATAACAGTTGACAACACTTGCTCACTGTGCCAAGAAAGAATGGAGTCCAGAAACCATCTATTCGTGGAGTGTGAGTTTGCTAAAGCCATATGGAAGAGGATGCAGCAGTGGCTACAGTGGCAGCAAGTACCAGATGAATGGGAACAGCATGCAAATTGGGCAATCAGAAGAGCTAAAGGGAAAACTACTCAAGCTCAAATCTTCAAATTGGCCTATGCAGAATGTGTTTATGCTATATGGATCGAAAGAAACAATAGAATTTTGGAAAAGAAAGCAAGAAGATGGGAACCAATTGCACGAGAAATTAGCTATATTTGCCATGTGAAAGCAGGGAAAAGAAGTCAGGAAATACTGGAGAGTATGCAATATTAGAAACATTGAGTTAGTAGATTTCTTGTAAATACTAGTAGGGATTCCCTATAGCTTAGTTGATGTAGTGAGTTTTGTGAAAATAGTTTCGTGGTAGTAGTCTGAGAGTAGTTTTTTTTTAGATAACTAACTGTGTTATAGTTAGTTATAGCATTGTAAAGTTTTCAAAGGTGATTAATACAAAAGTTAGTTACCAAAAAAAAAAATAACAACAAGCCCATTAATTTCTCATCAGTGGGATCTAGAAAGGGTAAGATGTATGCGGTCTTACCCCTACCTTGGAAGGGCGAAAATTGTTTCCGATTTTATTAATAATAATTAAATATTATTTACACAACTGAAAGTGGAACCTTTATAAACATATCTTAATGCATATAGTACGACAAATAATTAATAAGACAGAAGTGAATTTTATAACAAATTCCTAAAAATTATGGTGGCATGAGTTTCCACTTGGTGAAGAATATCAGTTCTGTACTTGTACACAGGTAGCCTCTATCTTTGCTTATAGCTTTATACCAAAATCTTAAAATTTCAGAAATAATTATATAAATAAAAGGGTAATTTCACGGATAATCAATCTTAATTAATCCACTAAAAGAGAAAAGACGATAAATTAAGTAGAGAAAACAGTGGGATACAACAATTTATATGTAAATCTTAATTTTGATTGATAAACTACGAAAATGAATCTTAGAAAAATCAACTAATATGTTTGAAAAATATCATAAACAGATATATGAAGTGAACTGGCATTTTTTGCTAGTCACAGTTTTTTTGGTTCATCATTCACTACCAAAAGGAGGCCATATTTTAGAGGACTTTTTATAAACCATTATAGTTTGGAGCCTACTAACTATAGTTTATTTAATTACCATTCGTAACTACTATACGAATACAATATGCCAACTGTAACCAAGGTAACATACAAGGGTGTATACAAAGGATACAACTTGTATCGAATTCAATTTGAATCGAGTATATACATGGGTGCGTACAAAGGATACAACATGCATCGATCGTATTTGTTCACGCAACGAACAAAACTAAGGCGAAACACATGAATACCGAAAAATAAAATGTACTTGTTGAGAGTTGAATTGAAGACCACCACTAATAAACACACGCTCTAACCAACTGAACTACGAAAGTTAGTTGCTCTCTTTTTTCAGTTTAAAATGACTTTTATTTCATGGATTTGCTATAAAATTCAAATATAACTACGAATGATAAATTTCCCAAAAAATATAGCTACGAATAATTAATAGTGTAAAGCAAAGCCGTAGGCCCATGCGATCTATCGCAGCTATGGGTTCTTCTAAACCCAGACTTACACCATCTATATGTGTTTAAGAACTCACTAAATAAGTACAAGTAAAAGGTTTCGAATCCAGCAACTTAGATGCAAAGCGGTAGAAATTTTAAGTCTAAACCTATAAAGTTCAAATGCTGGATCCGCCTCAGAATGATGCATTAGAAGCTAGTGTTGCAAAAAGGATATAAAAACAACTCACTCAGACTCTCAGAGAAAGAATCAAGTCATCACCTTCGGTTGGCTCAACTATTCCCACAAAAAACTCAGCATCTAAAGACAATCCCTCGCAAGCTAGAATAAAAAGGGCAGTCGGGGGCACTAAGCCCCAGGGAAAGGACCGGACCACAAGGGTCTATTGTACGCAGTCTTACCCTGCAATTCTGCAATAGGCTATTTCCACGGTTCGAACCCGTAACCTCCTTGTCACATGGCAACAACTTTACCAGTTATGCCAAGGCTCCATTCAACTTACAAGCTAGAGTAGCTGGAATAATTTGAGGACAATCAACAAAAGCATTTCTGGTGATTTTTCACCAGTAGTCTACAATTGCCTTTTATAAGTTGGAACCAACAGAAAACAAACTATTGTCTTTGCAATGATCTTCACACCGAAACGCTCTTTCGTGATTTCGTTCCAAATTACTCAAGTCGTGACCAGAGAAGTTCAAATAGGTTCTCTCCAACGCAAAACGCCACAAATGAGCTAAGGTTGGTTGAACGATGTGGCACCTCGACTGTACACCTGAATACAAGAGAGAAATAAAACCGTTAGATCTATTTTCTGCAATAATATCTATGCAATTCTAATGACGACAAATATAACTTGGAATCCCTTATAACAAGTTCAATCCAGGCGAGAAAGAGAAAGGAGAAACTTGCACGGAAACATCAGTTTCGAGTGTTGGCATATACAAATGAATGACAAGAATGTTCATGCTAACGAAGATTCTGAATTTCCTGATTTAGAGAAAATCAAGTAAAGAAAATAGAGCTACAGAAATAGAACCTTTTCAATTTTAAGACTGTAATCTTCCACAGGTGCAGTGATACAGAGAACATTTTAGCAAGAGCCACACATTGATTCAGATGCCTTTAATGGATATCTCCAACTGCTCGATCCTTTTGGCTAGATCATGCTTCCCACAATTCTTCAATCCATCTATGACCATGTCAAAGCTTCGTGACATAGGAAACAGATTTAACTCAGTCATTTCAACTAAATAATTAGCAGCCTCTACAAATCTACCTCCACGAGTGCACATCTTTATCAACATAGTATAAAGTGGTCGATTTGGTGGGTGCCCCTTCAGCTTCATATCACTGAAAAAGCTAAATGCATTGTCAAACTGTCCTCTGCGGAAGAAAGCTTTTAGAATTGGAGCATATAAACTAGGAAACGGCCGTTGTCCATCTTCCATTGACCTATGAAGAATCTGAAATGCCTCATCTATCCTCCCTACTTTTTGATGCTGCAGTTATAACAATTTTATATGTCTCAATATCAGGACAAAGCCCCAATCCACAAACATCATTGAAAAGGTCAATGCAAAAGTCTATCTCCCCGGTTTTACATATAGCTTCTGCCAACGAATTGAAAGTTCCAACATCTGGAACGAACCCCTCCTTTGTCATTTTCCTCACCAGCCCTTTAGCTGATTCAAGATAGCCAGCATTAAGCAACCCATCAATTAGAAGGTCCCTCCCGCGTACCGGAGGATTGAATCCCTTTCGACTCATTTCCTCCAAAAACTCTTGTACCTCTCTCATCTTCCCTGCCGAACACCAGCCATTTACAAGAATGGAATGTCTTCTTATCCGGAACAGTACCTTTTCGTATCATCCTCCAAATCAATGCATAGGCCCCTTGGAAATTTGTTTCATTTCAGGGGATGAAGCCGAGTCTACTGCACATGAGTGCGATGAGTCTACCGTTGCACATGAGTGTCATGAGTCTACTGCTAGACATGAGTCTACTGCACATGAGTGTGATGTGTGATGAGCCTACTGCACGTGAGTCTACTTCACATGAAAGTGCAAGTGAGATTACACAAATGACAAACAAAGAAGCGGTAAAAGCGGGAAGAAACACAAACAAAGGAAAAACACCAATTCCCCTAGGAGTAACAGCAAATAGTTTCCTAGATGACATCAGGGGTTTTGACGTGGGCAATCATCCTTCACAAGTAAAGTCTTTAATTTCTTTTTCTTTAATCTAATCACTTTAATTTAATTGCTCTAACTAGTGAACTTCATTTATCATAGCCAAAGAGGCTGCATTCGACAATACCAAAAGGACCTACGCTTCAAATTAGGATACGAGCAGATTTGAGAAAGAAAAGAAAACTTGAAACAGAATGCCAAGACAAAGAAAAGCTTTCGAATAAGAAGAAGGTAAACTTTTTTTGGTAACTAACGTATTTCATTAACAAAAGTAAACATTCAAGTACACTTATGTTAATGAAATACGTTAGTTGCTAAAAAAAGTTTAACTTCTTCTTATTCGAAGGTTTTTCTTGGTTTTTCTTTGTCTTGGCAATCTGTTTCAAGTTTTCTTTTCTTTCTCAAATCTGCCCGTATCCTAGTTTGAACCGTATGTCCTTTTGGTATTGTCGAATGCAGCCTCTTTGGCTGTGAAGAATGAAGTTCACTGGTTAGAGCAATTAAATTAAAGTGATTAGATTAAAGAAAAGCAAATTAAAGACTTTACTTATGAAGGATAATTGCTCACGTCAGAACCCCTGAAGTCATCTAGGAAACTCTTTGTTGTTACTGCTAGGGGAACGAGCATTTGTGGTGTTTTTCCTTTGTTTGTGTTTCTTTCCGTTTTTACAGTTTCTTTGTTTGTCATTTGTGTAATCTCACTTGCACTTTCATGTGAAGTAGACTCATTTGCAGACCCATGTGCAGTAGACTCATCACACCGATGTGCAGTAGACTCATGTCTAGTAGACTCATGTGCAGCAGTAGACTCATCACACACATGTGCAGCTGGAATAGACTCATGTCCAGCAGCAGACTCAGCTTCATCCCTAAAATGAAATAAATTTAAACCACACAAGATCAAAAAGCACAAAGACCGTCCAACTCGTCATTTCAGCTTCATCCCCTGAAATGAAACAAATTTAAACCACACAAGAACAAAAAGCACAAAGATCGTCCAACTCATCATTTTCATCATTCGAAGTTACCAGGAAAAATAAAGAATTCTAGTTGCATACCATCTTCAAACAAACACATAAAACATTCAGTATCATACGAATCGGTATCGTTGGAGGCAAACTAACACTCAGAAGCAGCAATTCATGACTCATCTTCACCTTTGGGGCGACGGTAGTCATGGTATCTTGGCATCGAGAAATCGTCGTCCATCCCTATTCATTCAATTTATAAGTCAACAAGTAATAACATTTATCCTAATAAAAGCGACATACGTTATATATAACTTCAAGGTCAGCCGCAAGCAAAGTGATAGCTTGGAAATTACACATTTGTTGTATGCAGTTATCCTATGTGATGCAGATGTAGACCAAATGAACATTCTAACAATTATTCTGACTATCTTTGAAGGGGCGTCAGGACTACATGTGAATTGGAGGGAGAGCCTAACATTCCCATTAAATGAGCCCCAACAATTCTAGCAATGTGTGGATGTAGTAGGATGGGGTGGGCATTAGTAACTAACCATAATAATAGTCTTCTAATGAAGTGGCTATGGAGATATATTGAAGAAGATCTATCCCTATGGAAGCGACAGATATGGAGAAAAACAACCTTGGTGTTCAAATGAGGTCTCCAGTACCTATGGGGTGGGGCCGTGAGGGTTTGGAGATCCATCAGAAGTTTGTGGGAGAAGGAAGACATATGTCTAAGAGTAGGAAATGGCAATAAAATACTATTCTCGAGTGGCTGGATCAAGTCTCTCTAAAGGACTCTTACCCGAATTTATTTTCCATCTGCTCAAACCTGAATGAAACGATTGTTGGTCTCCGAATGGAATCTACACTTTAAGAGAAACTTAAATGATTGGGAAGCGAAAAAGGTGGCCAAGCTATTGATGGATATTGAGTCGTTCACTGGTATAGTTGATGGGCCTGACACCATCAGATAGAGACACAACAACAACAACAACATACCCAGTAATATCCCACACAGGGTCTGGGGAGGATAGTGTGTACGCAGACCTCACCCCTACCTTGTGAGGATAGAGAGGTTGTTTCCAATAGACCCTCGACTCAGGAAAGCATAAGAACCATATTAATGAAAATATAGACAAGGATAGTACCAAAAAGCCATATAAAAGCAGAATAAAAATAACAAGACAGATAGATACATAACGGTGATGGTTTTTCCCCGAAAATTTTACCTCTTATAGCGAACTATTACACCCTATTTATTATAAACCAAAACAATTTCACAATATTATTACTTACATCTACCTTTTTTATTTTATAGCAAAATAGGTATTTATTTTATACCCTACCATTGAGGCGTGAAATACGCCTGTTATGTTCTTTTTCTCTCTCTATCAACAAGATTCTCAATCCTTTCTCTTCTCCCTCAAATCGCTCTCCCTTTTCCGTCAAGGCAGCAATCGTAGCAACCATTTTTGGCGGGGATAGACTTTTTGAAGCGAAGAGAATAAATCTGAAATGATGAGAAGGGAGTAAGCGAAGAGCAATCTTGTCAAAGGCTCATTTAAGGCGTGCTTCAGCCCTGAAGCTCAGAAAAGCTCAAGGAGGGCGCTTCGCTTTGCTTAAGGCTTAAGTTGCGATTCAGTGTAGGCAAGCCACTAAGGCGTGCAACTCAATGCCCATGAGTTCTATCTTGAACTGAGCGGTACTAAATAACAAATATTATCAGCAAATAAGTGTATTAGTTTCGGAAGAAAACATTAAGAGTGAATTGTTTCTTTTTCTTGAATTACGTATATATTTTAAAAATTTTCCTTAGTTGCGCCCTTTTTATACAAAAGCCCGTGAGCTTTGCGCTTAAAGCATCAATCGACCTGGATCGCTTTTTACAGCTTTTCGCTTTTGACAACACTGGTGAAGAGACCTGGCCACGGCTACGGATTGAGCTTTGGAAATCTAAAGCAAAGTCGTCGAAGAAGATTTGAGGACGGGTTTTTTTTGTCTCCATTTTTAGTTTTAATACAATGTATACAGTATTTTGCTTGGCCGGACAGCGCCATCTCCGGCGAACTTTCTTCTCTTCTTTGCTATTGAGTCGCATGCAATGACACAAATACATTGTATTCTGTATACAAATACACCCAAATACATTGTATTAAACTATTTTTAATATTTATAGAATTTATTTGAACAAGCTATGATGTCATACACTAGTCGTTTTTGTACACATTACAAATCACGACGCGTGAAACCCACCCGCGATTTACATGTTTATTTTATTATTATTTAAAGTTGGGGTCAAGTCCTGTGGAACGCGCACTTGAGTTGGGATTTACGTATCATGACTATGCCACGGGAACCGTAACCATAATCACAATGATTTATTATTAATCGCGCATAAGGTAAGCTATGATGTTCATAAGTGATTATTTCCTAAGCTTGTTTGAGATTATTTGTGAAGTCGTTGATTATGGATAAGAATTATGGAAGAAATTTAAAATGTAACTATTAGGATTATTAACAAGTCATCTACACTTATAGGATCAATTACAAAGAGCGTCACAACCCCAAATCATATTGCAAAGCCCACTAACCTAGGGAAAGAACTTTGCAAATTAGTCCATATCAAAGTCGCTCATTCACTCACAATGTCTTAGCAAAGTGGGACGTAATTAACAACCAGAAGATCATGCTTGAGCGCAAACAAATTGAACTAAAAGATTAGCCACCATATTCATTAGTCTACAAAATAAATGAACCAGAGAAGATACACTCTCATTTTAAAGGGAAAACACTGGTCTAAGCAAAACAAGATGACTGACCCGGGAAATAAAATATCAATAATCAAGGACACCTTCATGCCTTATAAAGGAAAACTAGAATCAGAAGTTTTCGTGCATAGCAATCAAAATCAGTGGATAAACCGATCATTATCAGGTAATTCAACCTCAAAATTGTTTATAGGACAATTAGCTGCAGACGGCTGTACTTCTTCAAAATCAGCATTAACTTCTAATCATGCTAGAGCTCAATATTTGAATCACAATTAATCGACCAGACTCAAACTATGACTAAATCTCAGTAGCTATACATTCATACGCATTGCAACGAGTGGATTCAGCTTTTTATTCTAACAAGCAATCCAAATAATAACAATTAAGAAGCAGACAGGTCTCAAATTTGTAGACAGATATGTTGTTATAACCTACGGATGACCTTCCAATAAAACTACAAATATTACACGAAGCAGGGAAGCCAAGAGGAGTACCTAGAGCGCAGGTCTATAGCTCCAAAAACTAGATAAAAGGCGAAGAAATCGGCTGATTGGAGGACAGCGATACAGATTCAACGATCAGCAGCAAAATCAAGCATCGATTTGAGTTAAAATCACTCCCGTACAACCCAGAATATGCAGGATAATCGAGCAATTGAGACGATTCCAAAAAATTCCTTTCAATCCTAGTTTTCTTCTGTTCGTTTTTTTTATTTTTATCTCAGATTTTCTTTTTTTGATCTTTGACGTCTTTAGTTTCCAGTTAGTTGCGAACACTGTTGGATTTCAATATTTTTGGAATTATCTAGGAATGAGTGTGCAGGGAGGAGTGTGTGTATAGGCGTGAGTGAAGGAATGAAGGATTGAAGGAGTGTGCAGATGAGGGAGAACTTTTCATGTCCTTCTCTGAGAGTGAGGTGAGAGATTGGGCGGCTGCTAGGGTTGGGCGTTCGAGAGAGAAGAAGAGAAGGGAGACAGCTAGGGTTTTGTTTTTGACGGAGGGGTCTGGTCTAAATGGATTTGGGGAGATAGGTTATTTTGCGAGTGGGGTAAATGGGCGAGTTGGATATTACACTATATACCTATTCTATCCAAAATAATTACCTGCCTTTACCTATTGTAAAAATAATTATAATATATACTGTAATAAACTCAAATTCACAGTAACAATAGCTGAAACCTTTTTACTCTATTATTAAGGCTGAAATGTGATTACAACTCAAATATTAAGATGCAACAACTTAGTAGCAGAATTACATTTGAAATGGCAGGAAGTAAAGTAACTAGAGATAGATAGAAGAGGGGGATGAGGAAGTTAAGAGAATAGGAGACGAGGAAAAGCATACACTTTTCTCAACAATTGGCATTACCCCATATCTCCACCCGGATCCCAAATATAATGTCCAAGCATTCTATTGGGTTGTTTAATCATTGGGCCTTTAGCTCCAGGCCCAATAGTCCCAATTGGATCAGCCTTGTTCCCATAATTCCTTATTAAGTCAGGCTGATCACAACATATACCTATGCAATCAAAAGTAATTCCCCGTTAATCCATCTTCATGTTTTGTTCTTGTTAAACTTAATTTTACTTTTCTTTTTTAACTTTCTTCTCTTATCATTTTCTCTGCTCTTTCTCTTTCTTTCCTTTTGCCAATATCCCTACAATTTTTCATTAGATATATGATCTATCTACCTCTCTCTCCTATCTTTATCATTTGTCCCAAGCAAAAAAAGCTAAAAAAGAAAGATCTATAAAAAAGGATAAAAATTTCTAAGTTTTCAGTTTGCCACAAATTTGTGAGGTTATGTATGTAATAACAAATTTCAATTGCCGACACTCGTTGTGGCAAATTTTGGTGTTAATGGTGATTTTTTGAAAATTTAATTGTCACAAACATTAATCTGCCATTGGAGGACCTTGAAACTCATAAATTGGGTTTCTTGAGTTTGTGGTTATTTTGATCTGATTCTGATTGGGTATGTTCGAAATGTTAGTTGGAGGAATTGGCTATATTCTTAGTCAATTTGGTGGAGATTTTAGACTAAAGTTTTAAACTTCGGGTTGAAATTGAGTTGAACTAGCAAAGAAGATAGATTAGTACTGTATGCCAGAATGGTGTATTGTATACTATATTGGTATACAATAATTAATTCAAGAGTACATAATTAACTACAATAATATACTACTAATTTTTTTGAAAGAATGAACCAATCCTCTATATACCAAAATAACATATTATATACCATTTTGAATAATTCAATAATGTATAATTTATTGTGTTGAACTGAAGAAGAAGAAGAAGAAGAAGAAGAAGAAGAAGAAGAAGAAGAAGAAGAAGAAGAAGAAGAAGAAGAAGAAGAAAAAGAAGAATTTGTATTGTATACCAAAATGATATACATATACCATTGTGGTATACAGTTCATTCCAATGATATACTATATAATGTAACGGTATACTATATTCTAGTGCAATTATATACTTTGTTGGTATACATGTATACCATATTTGTATCATATGGTACTAGAAGTCTTTTTTGCTACTTATATTTTTATTGTATTTTCTAATATTTTATTATTATTCTATTCTAACTAGTATATATGGAGATTTGGTGGCATAGATTATGTTTTCTTGCTCCATAACTGGTAGTGTTATTACTAATGGTAGAGTGTGTGCTAATATTTATAGGGACCCGAGGTTTGCCTGGCAAACGTAGAATTAGAAAAGGAACAAGAAATAAAGAAAATAAATAAAAATATAAAATAAAGTAGTAAAATTTGAGTGTGAAATAAGTTATGGTAAAAATAACAATAATACGATCTGGGCAAAAATAAATGGATAAAAGAGAAAAAAGAAAAAAATAAGAAGAAAACGAGAAAAAGAAAAGGAGAAAAAAAAGGAAAAAAGAAAAGAAGCATAGAAATAAAGAAGAATTGGAGAAAAAAGAGAAAATTTCCCACAAAAATTAATATAGGTAGAAAATGTAATTAGTTTAGTGGGTAGGAAAATAAATAGGTAGATAAGAGTAAATAGTTTTATTTTTATGGGTAACTGTGATATTCCTGTGATATTCCCTTGTTCTTTAGTGTAATTGGGCTGCTGAAGTGTTAGGCCCATTTGAACATAGCAGTCCTATTTTCCTTTCTTTATTAGACTCTGCAAAATTAGCCACTTTAGACTAAAAATCTAATTAAATCCTATTTTTGTATGGCTAACCTATTTATCTATTTTACCTAATGATGGACTAATACAACTAATTAACTAACCTAAGAATGTTCTTTGAGATTTTATGTATTTAACTAATGCATTTAATGATATAATTAAATCCTAAAAATGCAACTAAAGTGTCAGAATGCAACAAATAAAAGATGAAAATATTTTTTACATTTTGTGATTTAAGATATTCCTAATTAGGCTTAAAAAATGGAACTAAATGCAATAAACTGCAGACAACAAAATAGAAAAAAATTCTTTAAAATCCTACAAAAATCTAAACCAAGTAGAAACCTATTTTTGGGGGGCTTTTTAGGAGTTATTTTTTCATGTAGGGTAAAAATTATATGCTCACAAATAGAATTCAATATTTCGCTTTCCGTTATTAAACACCTCTCATCACTATTTTTAGGCGGATTATCTATTTAGTAATACATTCGCGCGAATACATAAAATACAGAATTAAACAATTATAATCTCTGTTTTTTAGGCGGATTACCTCACTGTATTTATAAATATAGCCACGCGAATACGTGGAACATAGAGTTAACACTTGTAATCCCTATTTTTAGGCTATTACCTCTCTATATTTATAAATACAGTCGCGTGAATACATGGAATGCAGCACAGTAGCAATGAAAATTTTATAGAATTGATTTTGTTGAGTTAAATTAGGAGTAATACATGCCAATTGATCCTCTTGCCGTTATTAAACAACTGGACCCCCTATTTTTTTAGGCGAATTCCGCTACTGTATTCATGAATACAGTCGTGTAACCACTAAATAGTAGTTACAAGAAGTAATTATGTATATGGTAGCTATAGGAAGTTAATAGCCACTAAACAGAAGTGGTTTCTGAAAATCCCTATTTTCCCCCAGTCAATCGGGCATACAAGAGAGGTATTAGGGATGGTACTGAGGTCAACTCAGTTTTATGGAGGAATATTTGGGGAAATATAGCACCCACCAAGGTAAAATGTTTCTCTTGGTTAGTTGCTAGAAGGGTATGCCTTGCTCAGGAGGTATTGCAGAAGAAAAAAGGTTTGCCCGTTGTTCCCAGATGCTTTTGTGTATGGAAGTCGTAAAACAAACAATCTCTTATAAATAGAATTCTATTTATGGTGAATGTCTATATTTAGAGAGATTCTAGGGTTTACTACTTGGTGGCTAAGTCACCCTCTCCCTATAAATAGAGAGTTCTATTCCATTGTAATTCATCCCATATCAATAAGAATTCTCTTCTCTCTACTTTCCTCTGCAATACTCTTTTCTTCTTTTATTATTTCATAACACGTTATCAGCACGAGACTCTAACTAATTGAGTAGAAGCTTTGGGATTGAGCATAATAATTGTCAATTGTTCCATGAAGTTCGTTCATGATAAAATTCTGGATTTAAGGTAAGTATTTTACTTTTCTCTTTCAAATTCTTGACATTCTATAATTTGATTTTAAATACAAGCAAAGACGATAAATTTTGATTGCAACTCTAATGGAGTTTGAAAGATATTATAACCACCCAAAGTGGTAAAATTTGTATGTCTCGCCATAATCAAATTCATGTATGATTCTGGGCAAAGAATTGAAAATCCGTCCCATTGAATTTGCTCCATTCTCATTCCCTTTAGAGAATGTGATAGCAGTATGTAATAAGTCTAAAAGAAGATAAAATTACTACTATAAATGTATCAATGGATGTGGACGTGGCAATAGACGAAATTATAATCGTCATCATTGAGTAATGAGAATAATAATGATTCTCAAAATAATCCTTCACTTTGTGAAAATAATATTTGTCATCGATTTGACATGAGATTTTGTAAAGCACATATAGATGATTATGGTCTATTCATGATGTGAATGTGACAACATCTAACTTATAAATACATATTCATTCTTGCAAGAATATGAACGTGCTAGTGGTATATACTACACTCACCTCTAGAAGGAGGTTTGAGATATAAGAAAATAATGTCATTATTATGGCATGAATGGTCATTGGTCACGTACCTATTGTACGCCAAAATATTTTGGTAATGTGATTATTAAAGAATAACATTAATGCAAGAAACATATCTTGCATATAATTGACCATGACCACAATGGTATAACATTATATCTTGCATATACCAAGACATTTGTTTATCAAGCATCTCTAAAGAATAAAGGCTCTAAAGCCAATTTTGTCTCTGACAAAGATTTTGACATCACCCACTTGAATGTGGCAGACTTCTTTGAGCACCCTGATGGGAAAATAGACCACTTGATCGGTGATGGATCTGTGGTTAAAGAAGATTAAGTAGTTTGATTTTATTTTTATTTTGCTTATTTGTATTAGTTAGTAAATAAACATCATGTAACCATAGTTCTTTACCTGAGTAGTAGTTATTAGTATTATTTATTTTACAAAATAGTATAGCTCATAGAAAAAGCGTCATCTTAACTTTAGTAATGGATTTTCTGAAAATGTAGATGATGATTTTACAACTAGTGTTTATGTGCTCTAATATAATAACACTGTCAGATAATGGTACCAACTGATATGTTTTCTTGCAATTAACGTGATTCGTCGTTTTTTTTTTTACTATGACTTGTATAATGCAACTCTAAAGTTCCAGTCTTATATAACGTGATCCGTCGTTTTCTTGCAATATAATAACATTGTCACCATTACGTTGTTGTAGGTACTTTGGTTTTATTAATACTTAATGCAATTTCAATAACTCATAGTAAACATTGTTTCAAATCGGAGTGTGCATATGATATTTGATACATGACATTATCATGTTTAATCTATAAAGTAATTATAATATGATGTATATAAATTGTCTATATTTTAAAGAAGTTTTAATAAAAATATTTTTTATGCAATTTTTAATTAATGCTTGATTGATGAACAATGACTTAGTAGATTATATAAACATATTCATATGCATGCA